ATATACGTGTATGTAAATATGTATGTGTTTGTAGGCATCTTAATGTATACAGATGCATATATTTAGGTATGTGTGTTTATACATATATTGAGAAGACATTATAGGTTAGTGGTGTACAGCTCCCGCCCCTATCATTCTTCCACGTCAGGTTTTGTAAGGTCATGGATAATTAAAAGTAATGTCCACTCACGACATACCCACTGTAACGAAAGTGTTGATGCCTCTGACACTTTGAAACCTGATATATTTTCGTTCACGACCGCTCTGTGAATCGGAATCAGGGAGTTAGGGTCTGCTGAATTTGGTGTGAACGAAGACATAACCTATATTAAGGGTGGAATACGGATATTGAAGAATCTGTCGGTGTTTGCTGTGTTGAGTAAGGTGTTGGTGGGTATACATCGCCTAGTTTGCGAAGTTGGTTACAGTAGCAGTAGCAGCTGGATTGTGTGGTTTATAGGTGGTGTACGTGCCACCTCGTGGTTATCTAGTACCTGATGTAATATGATCTAGTGTGTTCTAATCCTCGTATAGAGGGCTGCTGTGGTGGTGGGTGGGGGCTGCTGGGGTGAGGATCTCTGTGACATGAGTCGTCGGCAATATTGCATAGTCTATAAACTATTGAGACCACAAACTTACTTCAAAAGAGATTCATGTGTTTTTGGAGAATGTACAAGTACATTTATGCTGAATAAGATCGAACGCTGTAGTGGAAGAAAATTTGTCCCGTGCGATGCTGTGAGTACTGGGTGGTATTTAGGTCCAGGAAGAAGGAAGCTCGAGTATAGCTTGAACTTCGAAGCGGAGGTTGAACCTTCACCAATTTTTGATCGCCAGCCGAAATGGAAAGTTTGAGTCACTTTGTGATACTTTTGAGCCACCTTTGGATACTTTGAACCCGAAATCTGATCGCCAGCCGAAAATTCACAAGCTGAGACTTGAGAACATATCCTCTGTTTCATCTTAGAAGGCTATGGTGAGAGTTTGAGAGACTTTGAAGTTTGAATCCATATTACATACGCACCGACGTCCGACAATCAGTCATCAGATCATTTCGATAAGAAATACGCAACTACTCTTAAAAAAGCATTGATGAGTCATAAAAGACTCTAAAAAAGCACCGATACGTCTATAAAATAATTAATGCAAAAAGCAAAAATTATTCGGTGCTACGTCGTTTGCCTTGTTGTCGAACTGCCCTCTGGCCAGTTCATAACTTCATACTGGAAATAAATATATACAACCATGAACCAACACTTAGGTGCAATTGTTTATGATTACATATTGCTATTACAGTATAGCCAATCTTCAGACTTGCCGTCATGTATAGTCGCCTGGGCTTGTGTCTACCAATAGTATGGCTTATCTCGTTGGTGTCCTATCAGCATTCTAGCGTCAACGCAGCCAAGATCCTCACAGCTCCTGATATCGATGCAACGGTTGCCAATGGTGACAACGAAGAGTCGGACAACACTGACTTAATTTTTGATACAGATGAAAGTTCTGATCCGAGAACTTACAATAACATGCCAGTACCTTTAGTCCCCATTGGAGATGAGCAGAATAACTTCTTGCAGAGCTATGGAGTTTGGTGTGGTGGAAATCACGGTATGTGAATGCATTGCAGCTGAACTATAGTCCACACGGACCTACCTTGTACACATGTTTATGAATCAAAACCAGTACATCGGGATTATCGGAGACTGTTACACTCGTATGCATGCTTCAATATATGATTTTATACGGCATATATCGCGCTGCACACTCACCTTTTTGTGCGTTTTTAGGGGTTTGATTATATGTGTATACACGCAAACGTTTGAATAATCTTTGCGTGTACATATGTAAAGTAGTAGTAGTATATTTATATG